CTCCATAATTTATGTCCTGCAGTTACGCAGCTGTGGAGCAACGATTGGGAATTACAGTATGATATGAGCAGGAGAAAACTGCTACAGTGAAACCCTGATGAAAGGAAAGATAAAGAAAAACAGAGAGTGAGCGAGCGAGGAAAACACGGGAGTGAATATCTTACCATCCCTACAGAGAGCGGTCACTATGGGTGTGATAAGACAAAGCAGACCACAGGAACACTTAATGTGACACTGATGGATGTCACACCAACTAAAGCAAGGAGAGCAGATAAAGATAAAATCATTTCTTATGTGCCCTTCACAATTTACCCACGTTGGCTCCAATCTACTTTAAAGGCAGTGTTATACTTTACACATCTATGAGGATGCCATTGTCTGAATCCACACCCACATTAACTACATTTTGTCACCAGAGTATGAATGTGACACTCTCCGTGGCTGTCCACGTGCCCTTCGATGTCTGTGAACCACGCAGACATCACACTACAACTACTCATCTATGTGCCACGTACGAGTGAGTGAAATCCCAGCGGCTGCAGGATGATCTGTGAGCTCAACGGTTTCAGAGTCATTGTAGATTGTGTCCTGGGGCCGTGGCAATGAGGAGGGAATATATATCTAATCAGCACTTGATCATAATGTCAGCTGAAATGACCATCATACCATGCCACTGAGTATTTCAGAAACTGCTGATCTGATGGGAATTTCCCACACAACCATCTTTAGGGTTAAGATAGTCTCAAAAAGAGGAAACACCCAGAGAGCAGGAGTTCTCTGGATGAAAATGCCTGATAGGAAGGCAACAGTAATTCCATTAACCACTTGTTACAACAAAGGTGTGCAGAAGAGCATCTCTGAACACACAGCAGAAGACCACACCCGAGTGCCACTGCTGTCAACTAAGAACAGGAAACTACAGACTGAAAAACTGAGAAACTACAGACTGAAAAAGTGCTGCCTGGTCTAATGAGTCTTGGTTTCTGTCATCATCATGTCAATATGAACCAAAAGCTAAGACGTATGTTTCCAGCACCTTCTTTAGGCCAATTAAGATAGCTCTGAAGGTGAAAGTGGCACAACCAACTACAAACAACCTGTACCTAACAATCCTGTGTGTCACTGATGTCAATAATGCACTGAGAAAAAAGGTATTTACACCCAAAATGATTACATGTAAATTCCCATTTAATTTTGTTACATAAGTGCAATGTAAATATTCCATATGATGGAATCTGGTCAAATGACATGTACTTTTCTGGCGTACATTCAGTTTATGCCAAGCATATTTTCCTTACTGATTAATTATTTGAACAAATAAAACTTTGATTTTTATACATTTCATTTGCATTTTACTTCAAAAAACATTGTGTAATGTCTAAAAAGTACAAGACATTTTTTTTGTGTATAATCATTTCAGATATTGTTGTTTGTGTATCTTGTTTATGTTCGTGACCTCACAAACTCGTTTCTCTGTAGCCTCATAGTGAGCAGTTGAGATAACACAGTTCAAACAATAAACCTCAACTGATAGTAACAAATACCTTTTATTGATTCTAACATTTCGACGAAATGGGCCACTACACTACTTACTGATCGTGCTGACAATTATAAAAAATAATGGCTCCTCTGATAATTAAATAAATGGATATTATTAATACTCATCATGCTGTTGCTACATTATGCCAAAAACACATAATCTGTGATTAAAAGTTAGTTTTCTGCTTTTGAGTAATCACTTAAACTCTCATTTTCAGCCTAGAAACTTATTTTAGGACTCACTGTGCTACATTCTGAAAGTCTGAAAGTGAAAATAATTTAGCTTCTAGACAGGTTGAAAAAATGAACACATCAAAGAGAACAAAGAGCCTCTATAGACTAATCTGAGTTGAGCTTATTCCTCCTTCCATTTTGTGTGTTTGTAGTCGTGTGTGTGTGTGTGTGTGTGTGTGTGTGTGTGTGTGTGTGTGTGTGTGTGTGTGTGTGTGTGTGTGTGTGTGTGTCTGAAATGTTCTCTGCAGGCATAACTGTGTCAAATAGCACTGAATCCACCCTAAAGAGTGCACGTTTGGGTTGGGGGCTTCTCTTTTTTCTCTGA